TGCTGTACAGTTTGCAGGTTTGCTTCATGGATCATCACCTGCATGTGACCCACCTGATAATCCACTCCAGCTCTACAGCAAAGCAAACCAATGCAGTGGTCCACTAGAGAAAAGCATTTTGAGCAAGAGCACCGTGCAGCAGATACAGCTACGGAAAGAAAGCAACGCTGATCCTCCTGTTAAGAAAAAAAAGCCACCAGTTGTAAACAGAACCATATTTCATACTAAAACTAAACCAGTAGAAAATCATACATTGGTTGGCACATCAGCAAGGATAAGTGAACAGTGGGTTATTACTACTGGGGGATTTGTGGAGCGAGCATGCACACTTGGGAGAATACGATCCTTACCAAAGACTTTGCTTGAAATGCATTTGTGCAAAAATGTTTCAAAATCTGATTCTAATCTTATCACCCATCCACCAAATGACAAAAAAGCAAGAAGCAACTGGAGTGAACCCACACCAAACCAACAGTGCTCCAAAGGGAATTCGGAGAGAACACCTTCCTTCACATCAGAATGGGAAGAAGTAAGTTATGTTCATTTTTAAGCACAAGCAAATATATGGTATTGTGAAAATGCTGTTATTGTTTTCAGCTTCAGAGATGAAATAAAAAGTGAATCTTGCACACTGCAAATCCTCAAAGAGTGTGTCATAGTGTCACGCATGGTAGTTTGACAGCTGGTACAAAATGCAATGCATTTCTATTCCAAACGCTGCACGCTTAATGAAGTCTATTGTTTCACTAGTGAATGAAGTTAACCAAAAGTAATTCTACAATTTGTTGTGACATTGAAATTGTTTTCTTCTAAAGCCCTCACCACTGACACTAATAAAATTGGTAAAATTCTTTGTAGCTATGCCCATTATTTACATATTTGTTAATTATTTCCCACCATGGCAATGCCTGTCAGCAAGAGACAAGAGAATATGGCAGGAATGGAGAGTCTAAGATTTTTGGATTGATTGTGCATCTACAAACCCTCCCTATATAACATATCCTCTAACTGGTATGTAGCCTGTGTATAGAATGCTTGGCATATACCTGACTCTTGTGTAAAGTGGGAATACACTTATAGCTACAATGAATTTGGAACTATTAAAGGAAATGTCCACACTGAGGTTGTAGTTCACATGCTTGCTCATACAAGAGACTTCATTTTAGTTTTAGAACTAGATTTAAAATAATTTTTAGACACCTTGTTTTTAATTCTTTTTTTCTCCTGTACTAAATTTCAAGAAGGTAAATGATTCTTCATAGACACAAAAGTTCCCATCTTACAGAGGTAAATTAAGAATGGGAAATGTTTAGATCTTTACTGCTATTACAGAGAAGCAAGCATTTCTCTTTAAAATGACTGCTATGGGGAAATGTATATATCTCCAGAATGCCATTTTATTTCAGAAAGAACCCAGAGCCTGTTTGTGTGATTGATTATTTTTCTAGAAAAAGGTTTCCAGCTCACCTAAATGTCTGATTTGATAGGGCATCTGAAGGTAGTTTTTGTTGTAAAGGAGATACTTTCTCAGTGGAAGAGTACTTAGGATCAGGTTCTGATCTTAATAACTTGGATACATTGTTATGAAATCCTGAAACAAGTCAGGTCCAAGTTTGCCTTTTTAGGGGGACATCAAGGTTTGATTGTTCTTAAGAGTAAGAAAAATGTAGTTGATTTAAAAAAAAAAAAACCCAGGTGTGAATTCTAAATCTGCAAGTTCTGACAAAATTCCCAGATTTTCTCCTGTCACCAGTGACTAATACGTAGGTTTTAAAAGGAGACGGTTTTCCTCGTAGTCCTAATATTAAGCTCAGTAAAACGTGGTTCTCTGTGTCTGCCTTCTTAGACAGCACCAGCCTTTTGATTCACTTTTTGTTTTGTCCTGTTCTTATGGAAAATAAAATAGGTATAATTAATAGTTGTGATATAGTAAGTTCAATGTAATTCAGAAATGGACAAATGAGTTTTGGGATCAATGTAGTGCTGTTTCACAAACAATATCATTCTGCAGTACGTGGATACACAGCTATCACTGGCCTTTGGGCAGATGGAAAAAAGGGAGCTAGGAAATTCTCTGGAAATCTTAATTGGACAATTGCTTTAGTACTTTATAACCCACAAAGCAATATTCTTATGCATTAATATTACTGCTTAAATAAAGCTCTAGTGGTTCACAGTTATCAAAACGAGCCTATAAAATTAAAATCTATTCCATCATATACTTTAATATATGCATTTTTCTCCTTTGTATTTGTATACTGAAATATGACAAAGTAGTTTCAAAGAATGAGATATACCTAGATGACCAGAGTCGTCAGTATGAAAGGAACTGTACTGTAGAAAAAGAAATACCAGTCTCAAGCTTTAGCTTTTGCTAGTGTACAAATGTTATAAAATAAAAATCAAAGCGGAGAAATAAGTTGTCTACCTTTGATTTTTGCACTTTGCAATCTTGATTGTTGTTTTCCTAATGAGAGTAATAACGCCATAAATTTATGCATGAAAAACTAAAATAAAATAACAAAGATGGGGCCCATCTGTTCTCTCTTTTGTAGATTGATAAAATCATGAGTTCAATAGATGCTGGAATTAATACTGGACTGGGGGAGATGAATGATCACACTACAAGTAAGGAAAAGCAACTAACTATTGTTTAATTTTGACTTAACTGTCTATAGGGAAACTGTGGATAAGAGATTGCTAAGTAACCCACTGTGTTGAAATAATTTGTAGGTATTTGAATAACCGTGAACAGAATCAATGTTGTTTACTCTTAGAGATGCATTAGGCCCAGTATCCTGGAGCTGTTACTTTAAATAGAATATTGGAGTCATGAATGTTGTTTTGAAATTTTACCAGAAAAAATATTCCATTAATGTCTTCATATTGAAGCCTTTCTACTAGGGGGATATTTTCCAATCTTTTTCAGCTGAGTTTTTGTTTGGAATGATGGGACCCTGAGTATATATAATCCAATAGCTGTTGACACTTTTTAAAGAATTATATTATCTAATGCTGCTTCGAGCAAATATTTGGCACAGGGCTGAAAATGTTGCTGACAGCCAGTGACTGGTGTTAGCAATGACAGTAAAATTTGCAAACCTTCCCTACCATGGTGAATTCTAGGAACTCTTAAGTCATGACTAGCCTGTTGGTCTGTCAGCATAAACCCATGCAACTGTGCTGATAAGAATTTTTAAAGTATTTTACTATGTCTTCTTCCTAATTCATGGAAAGAGAACTGACTTGTATCTCTGAATAATTTGGTCTTGAGGCAAAGCTATGTTAACTCACCTGTACTGGTGCATCCCTGCTAGCAATTGTGTGCAATTACTTGGGTTTACATATTGGACAGGAGACTATGTACCTTGTTGTTTTAAATTTAAAAAATAAGTATTTTGACAACTGTCCGTTTAATGGAGCATTATATCTGTACAGGACAGAACTGTGTATTACTAACTAAATAGAGTTGACACAGCTATTTTAACAGTCGCTGGACAGTGAGAAGAGAATCTAGGAAGAAGAGAAAATAACTGATTTGAATACAAATATAATTGCAGATAAAACAAGCAAATTCAGATTATTTTTTTTCTAAAAGAGTAAGGGGCAATATAATGAAAAGTGCTAGGCATGTTGTCCTGGCAGGCTATTTTTTCTTCCTGAAACTTGCAGTGTTGGAAGGGAGAATTATTCATAGAGAAACTCCAGGTTAGGAGATAGTTAATAATTTCTGAAGATATTATAAGTAATTCAGGATTTGCTGTTTATTATTTTCTATCATGGTAGTACACAGGCACCAAATGCAAAATCAGGCATCCGTTAAGAAGTTGCACAGCAAGTAAAAGCTATGAAAAGGTGACAAAAGCAACAGCATGCGTATGCAAATTTGCAGAACTTAGTGATGTGTAAGTACTACTCTGTCCCTTCCTATGACTGACCACTGCTTTTCTTTTTCTACTTTATTCTTTTAAGATCAGAAAATATCTCACAATTCTTGTCATCAGCCATTTTGTGGCTTCTACTGCATGCCTTATTTTTCTTGGCATTCAAATGTGGCATTTGGTTCTTCAGCTCTTTCAGTTGGCAGGAGATCTATTCTTTTTTTCAGTTCATCTTTTCCCAGAGGGGACTCTGAGTCCCAACTTTTTTTCTAGTCGGTGTGCAGCTTCCTGCAAATCAACATCTTTTCCGTCAACTCCTTAATGTCTTTAGCTAGTTTAGAATGATAATCTGCTTTTGCTCTTAATGAAGAAATCAAGTTATGTACTGTTAATCAAAACACAACTACTTTTCTTAAATTTAATCAATACTGCTGTACATGCAGACTGCAATAAAGACATTTCTTTCTGTTATAGAGCTAGCTATATGCAGCTTCACATGTATGTTTTCCACTTTTCATTCCTTTATTTATATATCCTCTATATGAAGGGATTGAGTACAGCCCTGCCGAGAAGGACTTGGGGGTACTGATAGATGAAAAGCTGGACATGAGCCAGCAATGTGCTCTCGCAGCCCAGAAGACCAACTGTATCCTGGGCTGCATCCAAAGACGTCTGGCCAGCAGGTCGAGGGAGGTGATTCTGCCCCTCTACTCGGCTCTAGTGAGACTCCACCTGGAGTACTGCGTTCAGCTCTGGGGCCTCCAACATAAGAAGGACATGGACCTGTTGGAGAGGGTGCAGAGGAGGGCCACAAAAATGATCAGAGGGATGGAGCACCTCTGCTATGAGGAAAGGCTGAAAGAGCTGGGGTTGTTCAGCCTGGAGAAGAGAAGGCTGCGGGGACACATTGCGGCCTTTCAGTACTTACAGGGGGCTTATAGGAAAGATGGAAACAGACTTTTTAGGAGGGCCTGTTGTGATAGGACAAGGGGTAATGGTTTTAAACTAAAAGAGGGTAGATTCAGACTACATATAAGGAAGAAATTTTTTACAATGAGGGTGGTGAAACACTGGAACAAGTTGTCCAGAGAGGTGGTAAATGCCTCATCCCTGGAAGTATTTAAGGCCAGGTTGGACAGGGCTCTGAGCAACCTGATCTAGTTGAAGATGTCCCTGCTCATTGCAGGGAGGATGGACCAGATGACCTTTAAAGGTCCCTTCCAACCCAAACTATTCTATGATTCTGTATGTGTAAAAAAGTTTATCCAGTAGAGATTAAAAATAATGTATTTAATGTTCAGAGTGTACAAGTCAAAGAGATTTCTCTTAGTGTTGAACTGAAAGCATCTAGATTATTGAGCACTATGTTCAGGAAATTTCCCTTTTGTTGTCTAATAACTTTTTAGCAAACAGTAAAATTTCTAATAATACTGAAGAGCAAATGTAGCTTGAGATGTAATCCTTCATTTTAGTATTTATTCAGTCCTATACTTCATATTATACTTCAGTGTTTAACAGTGAATTGTTAGTAAAAACAAAAATATATTAAAGTCAAGCACAAATATTCTTAATCTACCAGGCATGAAGAGCTTTTTATACTACATAATAGCTCATTCTCAGTGAAAAATATTTCAGAAGAAATATGTTATACACTGATAATTCAATAGCTATATTTAAAATTAGACAATGATGACATCTTGTGATGAAATCCTTGAATGGATTTACAGGAACTTTGGCCTATATTTTCCTACTGGTTGTCCTGTTTTCAGCTGGTATAGAGTTAATTTTCTTCTTAGTATCTGGTATAGTGCTGTGTTTTGGATTTAGGATGAGAATAATGTTGATAACACACTGATGTTTTGGTTCTTGCTGAGTAGAGTTTACACTAGTCAAGGACTTTCCAGCTTCTCGTGCTCTGCCAGGTGCACAAGAAGCTGGGAGGGAGCACAGCCAGGACAGCTGACCCAGACTGGCCAAAGGGTTATTCCATATCATATGACATCATGCTCTGCATATAAAGCTGGGGGAAGAAGAGGAAAGGGGGGAACGTTGGGAGTGATGGCGTTTGTCTTCCCAAGTAACCGTTACCCGTGATGGAGCCCTGCTTTCCTGGAGATGGCTGAACACCTGCCTGCCCATGGGAAGTAGTGAATGAATTCTGTGCTTTGCTTTGCTTGTGCGCGCGGCTTTTGCTTTACTTGTTAAACTGTCTTTATCTCAACCCATGAGTTTTCTTACTTTTGCCCTTCTGATTCTCTCCCCCATTCCACCGGGGGGAGTGGGCTATCAGTTGTGTGGTTCTTAGTTGCTGGCTGGGGTTAAACCACAACACTGGTGAAATCTGGAAAGACTTCTTTTAGATCTTCAGGGGAATCTCTCAAGCAATTCAAGGAGCACTGAAAGGAGGGAATCAAAACTGGCTGAGTACGGTCATCAGGACTTAATGCACAACATGCATTTGGAAACAAAAAAATTTAAAGCAGAACTTTCAGTTTGGTAGCAGTACCAGTACTGGAGGTGTAAACTTGAAACTACAGAGAGGAAGATGGCTGCCGATGTCCTCTGAGGGCATGTAGCATTCAACAACTGAATACCTTACCACTGAAATCAAAAGCAGGAGTGCTGACCAAGGAGCAAGTAAGAACTAATCTCAATGATAACAACAAAAACCATTACCCCAAGGAGTACAAAATCTCTGTTACCAAGAGGAAATAAAAGATGGTGCTGGCTAGTGACCTTCTGCTCAAGGTAGTGTGGAGACATCTGCATCACTTGGCACTTACATTATGGCTGGTGTGTTTCTTCACAAGAGTCCAAATTTGCCAACTTGCAAAGGATTCTACCAATCACTAGCATATGATAAAGAACACTAATAATACTGCCAAGAATGATCCTAAGCAAATAAAAAGTGCTTATAAGGCTCTGTGGCAGTGGATAAAGAGGTTGAAGATTCAAGAGATCTTATTGTCTCTCCTCTCACGTCCAAGTCAAGCATCAGTCAGATAGACCCTAAATATAACTACTTGACTTCTATTCTGAGAGAAGAGAACTTTAAATCACGAATCATGTGGCAAGGACAAAAATCTTCATCTTAAATAATGCAAGTTGGAGTATGTCTAACCCCTGAGAAAGATAGGATTATTTAAAACAGGATTAAAGTGACTAGACAGAGAGTCATGGGTCAGTTTGTCAGGTATCTTTGCTGTTTGTATACTAATGGTAAAAGAAGGAGGAACAGAGAAGAATTAACAGAAGAATTAATGAGGAATAGACAAGAGTTAATTGAAGGTTATGAAAAAATTGGCATTGTTGAGAATTTATCATATATATTACACTAGTAGTCCAGTCACGTGGAGGATATAACTTCTTCAGTAAGAAGGAAAGAAGAGAGGAAATGTTGGCTTGTATTTCAAAAAATACGATGGTTGCTTTGAGATCTCGAAAACAGGATTAGTTAGAGCTGTTAAATATCTGTTGGTATCCAGGAAAGTAGAAAAGAACATGGTTATTCTTGGTACATATCCAAAGCCATTGGACTTGATAGTAATGGGAGATTTTAGTTACCACAGCACTTGTTGGGAAAGAAATTACATTGATAAACTGCCCAGGAAAAAAAAGTCTCAAGAAGGTAGATGTCAATAAATTCAGAGAATTTATTTAAAAAAAAATATCTAGGGTGCAAGTTAAAGAGAAATCTGTGGGTTCTTCAACAGAACGCTACTAAAGACTATAGTACAAACTTCACCA